TTTTGAGGTGAAAAGAAAGTAACAAGTCAAGTGTGTTGTGAGTGAGTGTTACAAACGAGGCAGTTTTTCTTTTTTAACAGGCAAAATTTTTAATCTTTTTATTAGAAAATGGACAAAAGACATGGAGAGATTTTTTTCAAAGACAATATAGAGATTTCATCTACAGTGATACCTCACGAGGTAGCTTTCCCACCAGGGGACAGAAGGAAGCTTCTTAAGAGTCCATAGGGTCACTTACTTGAAATCAGCACAGGGGCCACCGCGGTGCAGATTGCTTCGGGAATTATGTAAAAGGCGTTGTGCACTTGATTTTATTAGAATTATGGGGAAAGTTTTCTGAGGTCAGGTTTCATTATTTAAAAGCTGTCAGGGGCCTGAAGAAATCATGTAGCTCAGTGGTTGCATGGCCGTTAGCCCTAACTTCTTTTTTCTATTGAGAAATATTTTGTAATGCTTTTTTTTTTTCATATCCTGAAATGAAACTTAGACCAAACACATCCTACCTACACACTAATGGCAAAAAGTGAGCGTAATGCCCTAACTATAACATAAAAAATAAAAATCACTTACAGTAAAACAATATGGATTTCAAAAAGTAAATGTTTGAGTCTGACCATACAAGACACCATGATGAAGTGGTCAGACGCTTGTACCAGAGGGAGCATCACGGTGACACATGTGTGGCACATGGAGGCTTGAGTACCATGAAGGCACCACTGCTGGTGATGAGGTTTTCCAAAATGGTGAACAATTCTTAATCAAGTTCCAAACAGAAGAGGTGATGCTCTCTCCTTGATCATGTGGGAGTTGTACTCCTAGAATATCTGATGTATAGTACAGCTGTGCAAAGACAGAAGGTGGAGCTAGAGTCTAGACCAGTGATGGCGAAGCTATGACACGCGTGTCAGAGGTGACACGCGGACTCATCTTTTTGGTTGATTTTTCTTTTTAAAATGGCATTTAAATGTATAAAATAAATATCAAAAATATACATCTTTGTTTTACTATAGTTGCAAATATCAAAAAATTTCTACATGTGACACGGCACCAGAGTTAAGTTAGGGTTTTTCAAAAGGTTCACCATCACTGGTCTAGGCCCATAAGTTATAGGAGGATTTCCATTTACATGAAGGTCTGGTGGGACATCGGAAAGTGGAAGGCTTTAGGGAATTCTTCATTTGGGCGACTGCTGCAGCCATTGAACCCCTGCAAACTTCCAGAATACCCTCTAAGAGGCAGCACCACCCCTGCCGAAGACTACTGATTTTTTAAGCGATATGATGCCGAGAGATGGGAAGTGCTTGCATTCCTATCCTGTGTCACACACCCACCACTGGGTTAGGGATGGGGGATGGAAGCACCCCCAGGGGACCCTGTCACCTGAGTATAGGGCTTCTTTTTGTCAATAGAGACCCTGCTGGCCCTCAGCCTTTCTTGCTGAGGGACAGTGGGGGTTGGAAAACAGAAGCTTCTAAGCTAAGTAACCTTGTGAGCTGCTGAGTCACCTGAGCTCTGGAGTCCTGGGAGGAGGAAAGAGGACTCTGCCAGTGATCCAGACCTCACTTTGACGGCGGAGTGTTCAGAACACATACTTTGCAGTCAGATGGGCCTGGGTCCAAGTCCTGGCTCTGCCACCAACTGGCCGGGTGTTTTTGAGCCAATGGATTAATTGCTCTCTGAGCCTCAGTTTCCTCATCTGTAAACAGGGTTAATAATATTACCCAATTGTAGGGTGGTTGAGAATCATTAGTGAGAACGATGCATATAACATGCTAACTTAGCACAGGTACCTGGGAGACATGGAAAGTCCTGCTCAGTGATCATAAGTTTATAGAAAGCCACAGCCTGGGGGAGGGTGGGGCAAAGAAAACCCTTTTCAATGAATCCTCCACATTTTTAACTTGTTTTACAATTTGTGGTTTTTAGGGTATTCACACAGTTGGGCAACCAACATTGCTATCGAATTCCAGAAAGCTTTCATCACCCCAGAAAGAAGCCCCATATCCATTAGTGGTCACTCTTCATTCCCTCCTCCCTTCAGCTCCTGGCAACCACTTTCTGTTCCTGTTCATTTGCCCATTCTGGGCATTCCATGTAAATGGAAACACACAATGCCCCGTCTTTGTGACTACTTTCACTCAGCGTAGTTTTCTTAGTTTCATCCACATCGTAGCATGTGTCAGGACTTCATCCCCTTTCATGGCTGAATAATATTTTATTGTTTGAGATACCACATTTGTCTATCCATTCATCGGCTGATGGATATTTGTTGTTCTCACATTTTGCTGTTATGAATAATATCCACTTTCAGGGCACTAGCCCTGGGCACGTTGTGGGTGTTGATTGAGAACTAGGGGAGTCTGTTCTGAATCTGCTCCTTTGGGTGAAAGGACCTGAATAAGATGGGCCTGGGTTTGGATCTGATTCCATATCAGTCACTGTGTGCCTTAACCTCTCTGAATCCCAGTTTCCTCATCGGGGAAATGGATGATTATGAGGAATCAAGACTGTGCTCATACATGATTATCACACAGTATGTATTCAACATTTGTCTCAAGCCAACCTCTTTAATGCCTTATTTATTACCCTCTGGCCAGAGTAGGGCATGTCCTTCCGCTCTGCTCAAATTTACAGAATCTAGCTGGGCTGTAGTGAGGGGCACCCTGGAGCTGGCTGTGCACCTGAGGACCAGCTGTGCGCAGCTCTTCCCAAATCTGTATTCAGTGTGTCACATTGGCAGCTTGAAATCAACACAGTAGGAGCATTTGCACCCTGAAAATCAGCAAACCTTCCAATGAGGGCTTCCCCCACCCTGAGAGCCAGTTGTTAAATACTAACCAGCACACCACAGGTTCTAGTACTTTCTGTTAAGCTGGCCTGAGTAGCAACAGGACACAGACATCAGGAGAGGGTCAGATGAGACAAGGCCAGGGTTAAGCCCAAATGTGCTAGAGCAGAAGTGGTTTTCTGCCCACCAGCCTCTCCCACTCCTGGCTGCAGGGCCTGACACCCACTCTAGAGTCTAGAAGTTCCACGTCCTCACTGTTCCAGTCTCTTTCAATGCTCCACTGTTGGCAACAGGACCTGGAGGAAGTCTGCCGGAAATACAACAGCTATCATATAATCAAGTGGAGATAGACCTAAGTAAGAATCAGATAAACATGCTGAGGATGGGGCATAGAAAGAGTTTGGGTCCTCAGTGGTATCATTATGCCCTGAACCAGCCCTGGAACTGCCTGCCTCTGGACTTCCCACTTGCATTAGTAAAACTACTTTGTTGTTTGAGCCATTTCTAGTTAACTGTTCTACTACTTGCAGCCCAAATCATTCTGATACAGATGCCAACACAAAAAGAGGGGAGGACACTGGGGTTCCAAAGAGATTAGAAGGTAAATTCTGAGCTTAACATTTAGAAGGCAAGAATACACCCTAGGGGTGACCAGGGAAGGATTCTTCCAATTCAGAGAGTGGCAGGAAAATGGAAAAATTCTTAGAAAAAACATAATTGACAAAACTGACTCAAAAAGGAATAGAAAGTCTGAATAGTCCTATAACCAATTAAGAAATTAAACGTAGTTTAAAATCTTCCTACAAAGAGCATACCAGACCCAGATGATTTCTACCAAACATGTAGAGTCTATCATTCTATTCTTATATGAACTCTTCTAAGGAATACAGAAAGAAGAAATATTTCCAAACTTGTTTTATAAGGCCAGTATTATCATGATATCAAACCTGAAGAGAATAGTATAAGAATGGAAAATTATAGGTCAAAGTCATCCATGAAAATAGACACAAAAATTTTGCACACAATAGTAGCAAGCTCAATTTTTGATATATAAAAAAGAATAATGCTAAAATCAACTTTCTTTCATAATAAAATTTCTTGGCAACTTGAGAACAAAATTAAACTTTCCTAATATGATAAAGCATATCTGTCAAAATGCTACAGTTAACGTCATTCTTAATGATGCACATTCAAAGCAGTCTTTAAAATCATGAACAAGACAAGGTTAACTCTATCTTTGCTTCTGTTCATCACTGTACTGGGGGAGCTACCAGACTAGGGAAATAAGAAAAGTAATAAAAGTTGTCAGGTTTGGAAAGGAAGAAACAAAACTATCATTATTCTCAGATGATGTGACTACATTAAAACTTGCATCTACAGGAAAAAATTAGACATGGCAAAACAGTTTTTAACAAGGTCATGTCCATAATTAACAACTCAAATCTAAGAGCCAGGGGAATGAACAAAGCAGCAAGGATCATGACTTAGACAAGAGGCACAGAGTACCATCAGCAAGAACAGAACCCAGCAGCTTTCAACCAATGTTCCCCAATTTTTAAAACATGCAATACCTGTCTATCTAGTCAGGGAGACTGACCTCTTTTCCCTTAGATTGTCAAATTAAAAAAAAAAGACAACAACTTTTTAAAACATGCAATACCTGTCTATCTAGTCATGGGGACTGACCTCTTTTCCCTTAGATTGTCAAATTAAAAAAATGACAACAGCCAACACAATGATAGCCATCCAGTGTGAATGAATCAAAATTATACCTATTTTTTCTCAGATTAGCAAAAAATAGGATGTATTTTTTGGTGTGCCACAAAATTTTAGTAATTAGTTTATGTGTGCCATGAGATGAAAAAGGTTGAAAATTGCTGATAGAACTCATCACAGAGCCACTGGACCCTGGGGTTCTGGGCCAGAATTGGTACAGGAATGTGGGTGGGTCTCAGGCCAGGCATAACTGCAGTTCCACCTGGTAGGAGAGGAGGCATGGAGGGTGGGGAGCAAGGCAAATGCCTTATAAATTTATTGCTTCACTCCCTTTCCATCCTGGCAATACTGTCTCTGGGTCTCTTTTAATCCAGCTACTATGCAACCAAATGATTGGTTAGATGCTTTCATGTTTGAAAGAAACAGACACACACACATCCAATGACCTTGCTCTGATGCTGGCAAGTCAGGAACTTCTGTACCTTTCTTTTTCCAGGTTTCTCTTGCCTGACTCCCTCTCACCTCCCCAGAAGAAAGGATCTGATGGAATAGAGCCTGTCTTGTCTCCTGCACTCATCACCTCTTGTTCTAATTATCCGCTGCTGCCTAACAAACTACCCCAAACCTAGTGGCTATAAGAAGAAAAAAAAATATTATGGCGACAAATCTGATTTGAGCAGGGGTTGGTAGGCCGCTCATCTCTGCTCTATGTGGATTTTAGCTGGGGCAGCTCAAAGTCTGAGGGTGACTCGTGCTGGGAGCTGGGCTCAGCTGAAGTTTCTCTCACTCTCAGGTCTGGCGGACCTCAGTTCAGACACCCACATGGGACTTCTCCATGGTGGCTGGCTGCCAGGAGTGAACATCCTAACAGAACCAGGTGGAAGATACATCACCTTGTATGATCTGTCCTCGGTTGTCACATAGAGTCACTTTGACCATTGTCACAAGCCCACTCCCACTCAAGGGAAGGAAATCTAGATCTCACTTCTTTTGGGAGAAGTGGTAAAGTCCCACTGTAAGAGGAGCATGTGGGGTGGGAGATACTGTTGCAGCCACTTTGGGTAATCTGGTCCACTCTTTCTATCCCTGCTCCTAGCCTCCCGATTTGCTTGCTAGCAAACCAATCCCCTTCCCATAGGGGAAGCCCATGACCTGGCCCATCTGTCTAGCCCAGGGGTGGAATCCCCTTCCCATAGGGGAAGCCCATGACCTGGGCTGGCCAACTGTAACCATCATCTGTCTAGCCACAGGGCTTGGGCCACCCGAGGGCCGTAGTTTGCCCACAGCTGGTCTAGCCGCAGGGCTTGGGCCAGGGGTGAGCATTGGATCCAAATCAGCTCAACTGCAGCCAAGCCCTTCTCGCCCTGTGGTCAGAAACCCCACAGCAGGGGGAAGCTGCACACGAAGGACACACAGCAGAGCTGCACAGACAACGCTATGCAGTTGCTGAACAACCCTGGACTCTTCAGACTTCTTATGTGAAATGAAACCCTTAGCTGGATAAGCCGTGGGGGTAGGTTTTCTGTTACAGCTGAATACAATCCTAATTTATACGTGGAACAAATGGCCACTCTCACATTCACCCCAAATTCATCACTGACACAGTCATAAAGCCCAGGAACCATGATGGGGGTGATTCTTTATTTGAATAAATATTCACAAAGGGACTCACTTTCACTCATCTTTCAAAGCTGGTCCCTTCCAAGCATTGGGAGTAAAAACCTCAATAAACTTATTTTGCATGAACGAGTGAAGGGACCAGGTTAGCAAAAGCCATGATGAGAATGGCTCCAGTGTTGGATAAATCTGAGTTCGAGTTCACTCCCACCACTCACCTACTGAGTGATCTTGGCCCATTAATTTCTCGGTCTCGGTTTCCTCATCTGTAAAGTGGGGATTATATGACTACCTCAAAGGATTGTCATGAGGATTAACAGATTGAATGAGAGTTTACTGCTACTGTTGTTATTGAAACTGGTAGGAGGTGAGGACAGTAATGAGGGGAGAAGAGGTAGAGGATAACCTGTGAGGTGTCAAACTCCCCCCCACCCCCCTGATGGGGTGGGACCTGGTTCTACCATCCTCGAGCTACTTCAGGCAGGGCAGTTTGGGCGGGTCAGCTGGCAGTACTTCCACTGTCACACCTAGGACCACTCACGTGGCTGTAGTCATCTTGTGGTTCATTGGGTATCTTGTGGTTAAAGATGGCCCTCCCACATACCTGGTGGGTAGTGCTGGCTATTGGCACAGCGTCCATGGCTCTCCTCTGCTCCAAGTGGCTTCATTCTCCATAGACACATCGGGCATCTTCACAGTGTTCTGAGAAGGTGAGAGTGGGACCGCAATGTCTCTCGAGAGACTGAGGCCACAAGTCACACATCATCACTTCCCCCGCGTTCTATTGGCCAAAGTGCTCTGCAGATTTGCCAAGTCACATTGCAGAGGAGCAGGTACACAGGCAGCTTATTTCAGCACCAAATTGGGTATCACTTTCTCCCCAACCATATCATCCCCTTGACAATCCCCCCAAATCTTCAGGGTTTTTTTCCCCCCTCTGGATAGTTTCCTACTGTTTTAACACATTACCACACACTTAGTTACTTAAAACAACATAATGTATTATCTTAAAGCTCTGGAGGCCAGCAGTCCAAAATAGCCCTGCAGGACTGTGTTTCTTCTGGAGGTTCTAGAGGTGAATTCATTCTCTTGCTTTTCCAGTTTCTAGAGACGCCACATTCCTTGGTTTGTGGCCCCTTATCCACCTGTAAAGCCAGCAGGTAGCATCTTTCCTCTCGGGCTGCCTGCCTCCTTCTTATCAGGACATTTAGGATTGCATCAGGGCGTGGCTGGGTGATCCAGGGTAATCCCCTCCATCCCAGCGCCCTTAACTGATCATGTCTGGAAAGTGTCTTTTGCCAAGGGTGGCACATTACCTGGTAAGGTAAGTAGTCACAGGTCCCAGGGACCAGGCCCTGGACATCCCGGGGGTGTTATTCCATCTACCACAGACTCTCATACTTTCTTTCTAATCTGGTAGTTTCCAAACTTTTTTGAACATATTCCAATATGAGCTTGTTTTTTTGTTTGTTTGTTTGTTTGTTTTTGAAAACTGCCCCAGTGTATGTAATTAAAGCCTGGGCTCCAGACCAAATTACCAGCCCCCACCTCCTGGCTGCACTGCCATGGCCAGACTTCTTAGCCTCTCCACACCTTCGTTTCCTCACCTGCAGGATGTGGGTGTTCGTGTCCTGTGGCTGCCATAACAAACTGGCACAGCCTGGGTGGTTTAAACAACAGGCATCGATTGTCTCAGTTCTGGAGGCTGTAAATCCAAGATCAAGTTCCTGGCTGATGGGTGTCTGGGGAAAGCCCTCTATCTGGCTTGTAGTTTATTTCCTTCCCGCCATGTCTTTACGTGGGGGGCAGAGAGAAAAAGCTGTCTTATGTTTCCTCTGAAGGACAATAATCCTCTAGGACCTCATTTCTTTATTATTTCATTACTGCCAATTCAGCCATATTGGGGGTTAGGGCTTCAACATATGCATTTGGTGGGCGAACACAATTCAGTGCATCACAGGGATAATAACATCACATAGAGCTGTGAGGAGCAAATGGAGGAATAGCTGTAAAAGGCTTAGAGCAGGGCTGTGCCGTGTAGGCAGTATAAGGACTAGCTATTGTTACTAATCTCACTTACAAAGCATATATCTGTAGTCTGTTACTACCATTTTCTGCACGTAGTCAAACATAAAAGAGAAACTTTAAGAGGAGGAGATTCATTGAAGTTGAAATTATAATAGTTTCTCCTGCAGTTCCAGTGGATCATCTTGTATCTGTCTCAGGGTGCATCTGCCTCGCTGTCCTAGCCTGGGGTCGGTCACTCGTGGCAGCTTCCCGAACCCATCCCAGCGTTACTGAGTCAGCCCCCCTGGTGGAGGAGCCTAATATCTGCATTTTCAAAACATGCCGGTGTGTCTTGCTGTAGTCAAGAGTGAGAAAACACCCCAAGACCCACGTATATCCCCCGACCTCACAGCCTCCACGTCAAGGTCATTCCCACCCATCTGAGTGAAACCATAGCTGATGAACAGCAAGGTCTTATATTCATGAGGTTGCAGTCACCACGCCAGCATCCAAACCAACCAGGCACCCCCACAACAGTCCTGTCTCTGTCCTTGAGATGTGAAACCATTTTGAAAGTTTGAGATTCAAGTCACAGACGGGGCCAATACTTTTGTTTAAAGAGGGATGTTTCCGCGTTCTCGGTCTCCAGCGAAGCCTTTTGACCTTCAGCACTGATGCCGGGCTCCCCTCCTCACTATTAGCACCGCCATGGTCAGCGCGTACCCCGGTTCCTGAGGCCCAGTTGCGTGAGAGATCTGTATTCATTTCAGAAATGGGAAAAACACACTTTCCAAGTCCTTTTCATTCATTTCCCCCGCCTTTTCTCAACTGGCCAGCGGGGTGGACTGCATTTGGGCTGAGGGCAAATGCGGCTGCCCCCAGGGAGTCAGCTTCTCGGAGACTCCAAAGCCCCAGCGTCCTCTCTGTCGGGGAACAGATTCACAGGTTGCCCTTCGCCTCTCAGGAAACATTGCCCAGCAGCCCTGGAGCTGATGCAGTATCAGAGAAACCCACTCCCATACCTGGTTTGCATTTGCTGGGTCTCTGATGGAAAATACAACAGGGCAGTGACCTCTGACCTTCCAGCCACATAGCCAGAAAGTAAGCTCTAGGGGTGTGAGAATTAGAAGAAATTAATTTTTTGCTTCCCTGCCCAGCTTCCTCCCTTCCTCCTGCCTCCTTTCTGCTTTCTCCCTTTCTTTTCTCCATGCTTCCATTAATCTATTTTTAACTGAAAAAATAATTTATGCAAATAATGAAACCCAAATGCTACAGAAAAATATGCAATGAAAAGTAAGTCTCCTTCCACCCCAAATCTTTTTTTTAAAAGGCTTTTTCAAAGCTAAGCAAAGTCATCAGTTTCCTATGTGCATTTTCAGAAATCCTCCCCTACCCACATATGTATGTGTGTATGTACATATATCCCCATACATATATGCATATATATGTGTGTTCGTCATACATTAAACATTTCTTCTTACGTAAGTGAGAGCATTCATGCACCTTGCCCTTTTTCCTTAATTTATCTCAGAGAGAGCCCTGCATCATCTCTCACAGATCCTCCTCTTCTGTTTGTCTGACTATGTGCTGGTTGGCGGTCTCTGAGTGCCAGGCTGCGTTTATCCGCTCCTCCCTCCCACAGACATGAGGCTGTTCTTGGTCTTCGCTATAGCAAACAGAACTGCGTGGAGCATCGCTCCTTGCACGCCTGTGAAAAGTGCATTGGCACACACATGCCCAGGTACTGGTCAGAAGGGACCCTAAGAGGTTCCGCTGCACAGAGGGGCTTGCATCTCAGTGCTGTCATTTCATGGCCCTCCAAAGGGGCTGCCCCACTCAGTCCTGCCCACCATGCATCAGAGCAACCCCCTGCTCCTAACGCCATGCGCGCGCCATGGGCCAGGAGCCCTTCCGGAGTCCCAGGGAATTCACTCATTAGAGA